TGATAATTAATAGATAATTCAATAAAAAAATAATAATTAGTTATAAAAATTCAAGATATAATTATTTATTAATCACTTAAATATCAAAAATAAAGAGTATAAAGTGAATATTAAGAGATCTATAAAGATTTTTCTCTATAGAAAAAATATCAAAAATATATTATAACAAATCTGATAAGTAAATTTCACTTGAATTCATCTAAATAATATTAAATTGAAAGTAAAAATAATATTATAACTTAGTCATAATTCTCTGATTAACTATTATAATTGATCACAATTCTTTAATTGGCTATTATAAGTCATAATTAATTGAGATAATATTTTTAGTTAAAAGAGACTGAATTAATTAACAAATAAAGAGAGAAGAATTAGATTATAACTTTAATATTAATAAAGATTTCTAAGATTTGTGTTAATATTTATAAATATTATCTTAAAAGAAATAAATAAATAATAAAAGAATAATATAAATCAAGAAAATTATAAAAATCAAATAGTGAAGTTACTATCAATTAATATAATTTAAAATATAAAGTAATTAAATAGTAAAGTTACTATTAATTAAAGAAAATTATAACTAAAGAAAAATAAAACTAAGATAAATAATAATTAAAAAGATATGACTTATTTATAATAAAGATTTTCTATTCTCAAAAATAATAAAATAAATAAAATAAAAAGTAAAACTTATTTATAATAGAGATTTTTTACACTCAAAATAATATTAAAAGTCAAAAATTAATATAATATTTATATTTAAATCAAAATTAATTTTGTATAATCAAAGAAATAAAATCAAGTAAGAGAAAGAATACTAATATAATTAAAAAAAATCTAAAAAGATTATTATTATTATGATAATAAGCTTTTTAATTATATTTTTCAAATAATTCAATTCAAATCTATTTATTTCAAGCTAGAATAGTAAGTTTTTTTATATATTTTTCAAATACATAAATTATTATAGTATTACTAATTAATACTATTTAAATATACATACTAATATTTTAAAATATAAAAATTTATTCAATATATTAAAATATTAATATTTTAGAAATATTAATATTTTACAAAATACTAGTATTTTATTAAATACTAATATTTTACTAGTATTTTATCAAATATTAGTATTTTATTAATATTTTATCAAATAAAAAAATCTTTAATATTATTAATTTATTAAGTATACTAAATTAAATATATATAAAATATAAATTAAAAATATAGATCTTAAATAAAGAGAATAAAAATATAATATTTAGAGTAAAAATATAATTATAAAAAATAAATATAAATTAATATATAATTAGATAAAAAATAAGAATAATTAGATAATAAATTATAAAATTAAAAAAAATAAAATTTTATATAATCAAAAAAAGATTATAAAATTGAAGAATTTTATATTACTATAGTAATAGTATCTTAAATATAAATTTTATAAAGATATTTTATTATACTTTTATATTATTATAATATTTTATAATAATATTTTATTAATTAAATATTTTAAATATTTAAAGAATTATTTTTTAAAAAAATTTAATTTTAATAAATATATTACTTTATTTATTTAAGATAAGTTATAATATAATAGAATTATAAAAGAAAAACTTATAATAGATAATAAATATTAAATTAAAGATTTTTTAAAATATATTAAATTATATAAATAGAAATTTTCAAGTTAAAATCTTTTATTTAAGTTTTTAGTTATTTTAATTCTAATAATAATATTATTAATCTATATTATTTAATCAAGAATATAATATTATTTAATTAATAGAATTAAAAATCTTTTAAATCTGAAAAATAATATAATATTTAATATTTTTTAATCTATTTAGAATTGACTTTTGGATAATTTTAGATAGTTTAAATAAAAATTTATTAATTATTTAATTATATAAATATTAAACAAATATATTTAAATTGATTTAAAAATTAATCTTAATTATATTATATATTATAAACTTAAAAAATCTGGTTTTTATATAATTTCTATAATATTTTAGATATTATTTACCTAAAGCTAACTTATTATTTTTTTATACTTTATACTTGAAAATAAATAATATTTTTTATTTTTTAATTATTAAATATAAAAATTAATACCAAAAATATTTATATTAGTATATTGATTATTAAAATATAAATAAAGTAATATCAATTTTATATTAGTTTAAAATTATAATATTATATGATATTTTATATATCAAATTAATAATTATATTAATTATTATACTTATTTATATCTAATATATTAAAAATATATATTTTAGTTATATTAGTATTTTTTTTATACTAATTATTTTAACTAATTTATTAAAAGAATTATATTATATTTAATAAATATTTATTTATTTTATATATTATTTTTACTAAAGAATTTATTTTTTTATAAGAATATTAAGAATATAAATTTTTAATAATATTTATTATTATTATTACTTCTGTTATTTTTTACTTATTATTTTTTATTTATTTTTATAATTATAACTTTTACTTATTATTATAAAAAGAGTTATCAAAAGTTTTTAAATAAATTTTTATATAATATAAAACATATAATTTTTAAAACTTAGCCAAAAAAACTTTATTAAAACTTTATTTTAAGCTTATTAAAATCTATATTTCATATTATTAAACTAGTATTTAATTAGGCTATCTTCTATTATAATTACTCTGAATTTACAGTATATTGATATACTATTAACTAAATTTTTATTATACATTTCAAAAGTACTTTTTATATATTTTTAATATCTTTTTCAAGTTTAGCAAGATTAATTAGCTTTTTTTATTTCTAATTTTTTTTATTTCCATTTATAAATTTTTAATTAGATTAAGATTTGGATTTCAAGTAAATTAAAAAAGAATATATAGATTTTTTTCTATATAAAATGATACTATAATTTTTATTTTGTGAAATCTAGCATTATCTTCTAAAATAAATTATTATTCTTGAAAATATATACTTCATAATAGATAAAATATATTTGTATAATATTTTAACAAAAGTAATTCTAATTACTAATTCATAAAATAGTACAATTGATCTTATCTTTTTTTATAAAAAATAATTTCAAAATATATAGCTTAAACTATATTTAACTATAATTAAATACAAGAGAGTAACAATTTATCTTCTGATTCTCTTCATACTCTGCTAGTATAATTTTGCTAGAATTAAATAAAGATCAATTTATTACTTTATAATATTTTTGCCTAATTATTTATTATTTAGCTTTTATATTTTAAGCACTATGCAAGTTATATCTCTTGATTTACTGATGAAATAAATAATTTTATTATATAATATAACTTCTTAATCCAGTGAATAAAGAGTATGATAAATAATAATTTCTGAAATATTCTGACTTGTTTTATTTTTTATAGTACTTTTTTTTTAGTAGTATATAATCATCAATTTTATGCTTTTTCATTTGTTATTATATATTTAAGATAATTGTGATTTGTGATATTGATCAGGTATGATCATCTGGAACAAGACTTAGAATTAATAGATTTGGTTTTGGCATATTTTTTTAATATATTATAAATTGTTATTTTGTCACATCCAACAGTTTCTGCAATCTGATTATATGAAATACCATTTTTATAAAAATAAAATATAGTACCTCATTATTTTTTCTCATTATTGCAGTTGTAACCACAATTTGTAAAAAAAATGAAGTTAGAAAGAAAAATTGAATTAGAAATGTTTTTTAAGACAAAATAAACAAAAACAAATCATATTTGTATAATAAACATTATCTTTTTTGTATAGCAATCACATTTTAAAAATCACATTCAGAAACTTTTGATAATCCTTTGTAGTTATATCTCTATACAGTTATTCTTTATATAATCATACTTTCTATATAGTCACAGATTTTTCTGATTTTAATTATTATAAAGCATAGAAATTTGATTTTTATATAATCATAATCTTTTCATAGTCACACTTTTTAATATTTTCATGAATATGATTATATGAAGATATGACTAGTTATTTATTTATTATTAGAGTTTATCAGAAAACTTAATATTTTTGCAGATTATATAATTTATTGATTTAATCTGATAATTCTATTAAAATATTTTATTAATCAGATTACAAGATCAGTATACAATGTAAAAATTTAAATCAAATTTATTTTAAAATCTTATCTATTCCTTGTAAAGTTATTTTATTTATAACAGTTTAGTATTTTTCTAAATCTGGATAGAAATAATTATTTTTTTATACAATTAAGAATATTTAATTAGAATATTTTAAATATAAATTAATAATTCTCTCATTGAAAAAGTTGTATCGTTAATACAATTATTTTCTCATCATTTCAAAATACGTATCCTAAAATAGTAAGTAAAGTAAATGTGATTGTGTCTAACGAAAATAAAAACACCGCCTAAGTCACACAAAATATCAACAACACTTGACGCTGTTGAATATCTTACAAAGGACAATTTATAAAGTATAGCGAGAATGGATCATGAAAAAATAAATTTAAACCATCTAAAAGACACCGTTATATGCACAATGCAAAACAAATTGCGTCAAAGTTTTATAAAATAGATTCAGACGGACATTAATTGATGTGCACAAAGACCAAAAGTGGTTCCAATGACATGTACTATTGTGTATTAATTTCTTTATTTTATCAAAATTTATTTATCTTATTCATTTAAAAGTCTTTTTTACGTATGCAGGATTATATACATGTACATGTACATGTAAAAAATTACATGCCCTCCGACCAAATAACGTATTATGTGTTGATAACTTTTAGAGGTATTCGTAAAACCTGATTCGCAAGAATAAGGTCAGGTGCCTTCTTCTGCTGAGACATATATCGTAAAGATTGCCCGGTCCTGTTATACATTCTAAAAAAGTATTGATCAAAGGAAAAAATTGTCATACATGTACAAGTGAGAACATACACAGAAATAAATCGTTGCACATAACTATAAACATCAATCGATATCAATTAATGGCATCAAACCTTCCAATCTTATGCATTGATAAAATATTCGGAAACCTAAAAAACGACCACAAAACATTACATTCGTGCATCTTTGTAAATAGTAATTGGTGTCGACAAGGAATTCCTCTCTTATGGTATAATCCATTTCAAACAGCGAGCAATCCTGCATTATTGATCGACACACTATTTCTCTGTCTTCCGAAAGTCGAAAAACAAAAGTACGGGCTAATACCAAAGAATAATGATTGGATATCAATATCAGCTTCTTCAGATAACCAGGATGACGATGACCTCTTGAAGCCGATGTTTGCATATGATTCTTTGATTAAAAAATTTTCATTGGGTGATTTGTATGCTGCGATAAATGAATGGTGTTCACCTGTGCCACACAAAAGAACTTCACGGAAATTGCTAAAGACATTTTGTCAACGTTTAATTGAAGAAGCAAAATTAGAAGAATTAGAATTGGATTTTGATAATCTCGAGTTTTTTAATAATGATGAATGGGGTTGCGACAGTAAAGAGTGGGATATATTCCAATGGTCGGGAGCAAAAGATTCTTGTTCAAATCTACAACGAATGCAAATATCTGGTGAATATCCCGCAGAAATACTTTATTCAGCAGCACAATTATGCAGTAATATAGAATCCATAAGCGTGACTTTAAATCCATACTCACAACTCACCTTTACATCTAAAACCTTGTCTGATAGCAACGTATTCGAACGAATTGATTACTTGATTGTACTAATCGCAGCACAATTCACGTTAACAAGTATCACAATTTCGAGATATCATGATTGGGAATCTTCACAAGACTTACAACGTTTATTTGATGCTCTCGTTCTTCACTCGCCCTTTTTAAAGTACATTGAATTATGTGATATTAATTTGTCAGAACAATTTATGATTTTGGATATTTTATCGATACATCAACAGTTGGAACAAATTGTCTTTAGGAATTGCTCATTGTTAGATTCTAATTATTATCCCAGGTTATCAGTTGAAGCTTTCTCGAAACTAACTGTGTTGGAATTTAGGAATACATTTGTCGTGAAGAGTGTCATCAGTATATTAATGCTTCATGCTGCTTCATCTCTGCGAGAATTAGTTCTTGTTGGATCAGTTTCATTTGACACCATCGAATTCTTGCAAGATTATGGATCCAATAATCCAAACATTGAAAAATTTGAAGTCTATTTGTCATTCGATCAATTGCCGTCGATTTTACATGTTATTGAAATTTGGAAACACATGAAATCTTTGACATTTCACATTCAAGCAACATCATACACGACAACATCGTCATCATCGTCATCATCAGCATCATCAGCATCATCCTCATCGGCTAAGACAATTAACGATGACGAAGAGAAAGATGAGGAAGATGACAATGTGTACGACAACGAGAACGATAACAGCGATGAGTGTGACGACGGAGAACAAGAGAGATGGGATAACTATGATAATAGAAATGGCTTTGATAAATTTGTTTCTGGATTATGGCAATGGTTACCCTCGGAACTACGATATCTGGAAATAAACACAACTCTAGAATTTTCTCCAATGGCGATACAAAGTTTCTTGATGGAAACTAAAGCCGAAATTCAGATTTTAAAATTCCCAATTTCCACTTGTATTTCTGATAACCATTTGGAAGTGATTGTCGACTATGGATTTGTAGAGTACTTGGACATAAGTAACGCAAGATTTGTCACGAAAAACGGAATTGAGAATGCGCGAAAAGACATTAATATTATTGAACATGTATTTTACGAATAGAAAATATTATTTTTAAATCACCTGATCAATATATATCAAATGTCACACATAAATTATAGATACGTGTCTTTTATTGGTTACAGATCTCAAAAATGTAATATAAAGTTTCAACCACACATTCCTCCCATGTCTTGACTATTTATGTGTGTATCCCTTATATTAAAACAAAATGAGTTCACAATCCACTCCAATCAAAAATGAACCAAAATATATTACCGTAGCGATCAGTTATGAAAAACTTGCCAGAGAAAAACGATGGTTTAATGAAAACATGTCTGTGTTCCCCATTTCTATGGAGAATGCACGAAAATATGTTGAACTGAAAAGAGCAACATGTAGTCTAAAAAGTCTTCGATGGTATATTGATAATTTAGCACATTATCATATAAATGTATTGAACATAAACTGGAGAAAAGATAAAGTGCTAGCGATGCTAAATGATGGAATTAATGGTATATAAGGAATGAAAATTAAATGATTTAAAATGATTCTGCTAATAAAAACTATTATTTTTATAAAGAAAGTGACGTTAAACCGATGGATTGTGTAGAAAATTGTAGGTGATTATTTTCTATTTAGTGTATAATTTGTTTTAAGCTTCTATTAATAATTTGATGCGAAACTATAAAAAAAATTTGATAGACGATCTTTAAATTGTTCAATTTCATTGCTGGAGGAAAAACGAAAATATTCGTCAGCAAGTTTGTTTTCTAATTCATTGGGAAATTATTATAACATTATGGTTTTTTTAGGTGATGTGAGTTCTCAAAAGATATTCAATAAAAAGAGATTGGCTGAGTCTTTATCAGGTAAGAATAGTTAATACTGTTTAATGCTTTTTTCAGGTTGAATTCAATAACTATATGAATTCTTATTTGTAATTAGGGGATGAAAATAACGAAATCGATGAAAAATGTAAAAACAAAATGATTTTCAAATAAATCAAAAATTTATATTCTCAAATACATGTAATTTCTATTCTTTCGTTAAAAGATGTACGGCGTTCCCAACGATTATTTCAACAATTTCATTATAATCGTCATGTACATGTACAACGAAAGCGGGTAAATATTATTCTCAACTTTATATACTTTTAGCAATTAAAAAATCTAATGATTTATTAAATTTATAATAACATTAGAAAAGTAACGGACAAGCCGACAATGATTACAAAACTCGGTTTGAGACAGCACTTGAGCAAATTCAATCACGTTACGTTGATACCTGTCTCCATCATTTAGAAGGATGTTTTCAATTTGATGCAAGGCACCATCTTTTGTTGACGGAAAATATGATGCGTCATTGGGCATCTCTAATTGTTAGTATTTTTTAATTTTTTTATAATGTTTGAAAAATCATTTGCTTATAAAAAAATGATTGGATGTTACAGGCATCTGGTGATGATGTTAATGTATCATCGCCACCTTCATTTGAAGAAACACCTGAATTTAGCATTAATAATGCTATGTATATTAATTAAATCACATAGATTAATATAATGATCTTTAGAATAGGAAGTGGATAACTATGTAAATTATGGGAAATATTATAATACAAAGCTTAGCTCAGAATGCAATGTTACCATAAAATGAAGTCAAAATTCAGTTTTAATTATCTGAAATCGGTAGTACTTTATAAAAATTTTCTCAAATAATTGCAACCAATAAAAATGGCATAAGCCCAAAATATTTACGTCTTGTATACATTCTTGCTATAATAATAGAAACATATAACAATAAAATTCATAATAAGAAGAATGAAATAAAATAATCATCCAAAAGCTTAGAAAATGTCAACTACCACTTTCTGTATATGTAACATGTAATAAAGTGATAAAAATACTCCCAGTACATTAGCGAATACAAGATAATGAAAACAGAAATCTTTTATAATATCTATTTAATTCATAATGTTATTTACAATTGGTTTGATTAATATTATAAAGAATGTCTTATTTCTATTCCATGTAATATATTTAATAATGCGATAATTTTGTATAATCATTAAAAAACAAGAACCATTCAAAATAGTCAATAAAGACAGGTGATTAATGTTCTTCGAGTTATATAAGGGCAATAAATTGAAAACCATTCAACAAACAGAGATAATTATATAAATTCTAAAAAATGATTGATTAACTAACTAAAAATAAAAGTTGAAAATTAGAAATTGAACTATATTGATTTTATAACTGCAAAATGTTATTACAAATACTATTATAATCAGATTTCTCTATAATATTACAAAAATAAAAAGATTATTAATTCATAATCTTCTAAGTAATAATTCTTGTCAAAAATTCATGAATTATATAATGTCAAAACTGAATATATTCTAGCTGTTAAAGTTTCTATTATAAGTTATATTATTTATATATTTATTTACTTAATCTAAAATTAATATAATCAAAATGCAAGCTCTTTATTTTTTTAATTTTGAAATTTTCTGCTAGCAATAAATCTGTAATATTTCATTATATTCTTTAATTATTTTTATTATTAGCTTTATCAAGAAATTAAAAGCATCTACAGTGATGACCAAAAGTAAAGACTCAGGGGCTAAATTTACTAATAAAACATAGTGAAAATTGAAATTTTCTCTTTATATTAAAATTTATAATTTCAATAAGAAATAATTTTTATTTTTATATTAAAATAAAGTTTATTAGTTGTAGTTTAACATATATTTTTTTCAGATTTT